GGCACGCACGCACACACGCCTGGTGTGAGTTTAAGCCACCGGGTCCGGGACTCAAACCGCGGTCGACTGCATGGTAGTCCGTGCACATAGCCATTACATGAACTGCTGGTCCCATGTCCAGTGTGAGTTTTAAGCCACCAAGTCCAGGATTCAAGCTGCAGTCGGCTACATGGGAGTCCAGCGATATAACCACTATTCCCATCTGCTGGTTCCTTAAACTTATTTATTTATTTATTTATTTTGGGGGAAGAGGTTTTTGGTATAGAGCGCGTGCACTCGCCAGAAAGACAGAGAGACAGAAAGTGAGAAATCACCCTCCAGGGGGGATGGCCATGCCGCAATCCCTTTTCCTCCATTCTCCTCTCGGGACCTTGGGCATGCACACACACGTGCCTGGCATGAGTTTAAGCCGCCGGGTCCAAGATTCGAACTGTGGTCGACTAGATGGGGTCCAGCGACATAGCCATTACGCTAACTGCTGGTCCCGACATATTTATTTTGAAGATTCTTTCAGATTGATCTATTTGCTCTAGTCCATTAGGTGTGAATTATTCAACGTGTTGGGTATGGACTGGCTCCTGGCACTGAATTTTAAAATGTGTTTTAAATTCTTACTGCACAGGCCTATAGTCAGTGGAACTATTTCTCGTAGAAGTCCTACCTGGGCATTTACAGGCCTATCTGTGGTGCAGTTCTAGGACTGCATATGCCAAGGTAATGAGTTCATAGGCTCCAACCAGTTTTTATATTCGTTCCTCAGCTGCTTCGTGTTTTCTTACCATTTGGATTGTGCAAGACGCAGACGGGCTTAGGGTTATGCCCTCTTTTAGGTAACTGTGTTTGAACCCCCACCCTGAGGAGAGTCTGTTCCTTCCCGTATCTCTGCACTGAAGGACAGAAGCTTCTGGTTCCCATTCATAGGTGGTGACACTCTTGTTGAGCTCCCAGTTTCAGGTAAAATCCAGGTCCAGCTCCCAATCAAGGGTAGATCTAGGACCTCAGCTCATCCTCCCTGTGTGTGCATTAATACAACCATTCCTAAGGTGTGGCCCCAGTCTGTGCATGGACCTGGATCTTCGGCTTCTGCTCACGGCCATTACTAGATATCCCACCCCTCCCGCCATGGCTATGTATCTGGAGTAAGGACTTCCACGTCTCCTCAGTTCCGATCCAATGATAAAGTAAGCCATGAGATGAAGTTTCGCTTGCTCTCCTTCTAGACTGGGTGCTCCACGAGGACAGGAACCACGCTGCGTCGTCAGATGCACAGCACCTTCACTGTACTTGGCACGTAGCAGGTGCTCGGTGAATATTCACGGTAATGAGACAAGCCAGAAATATGCTAGAAGGCATTTCCGGTAGGCAGCCATGGCCGAAGCAG